GAGCATAATTTATTCAGTTCTGTGGGATGTAAGTTACAATTTATAAATATCCAAGAACATGCTCTCTCTTCTTTTGAATTTCTAGAATTAGATATTAAACTTGAATATTCTAGACTTCTTTCTCCATTCCTGACTCTGCTGTTTTATTTTTGCTAAATAGGAAAAAAGTTTTATTTGAATTTTTAAACTCCTAATTTAAAAGCTAGTGCATTTAAGGCATCATTTGCTTTTTAATTGTAGTCAGATTATTGTAACTTTGTCTCTTTTTTAAAGTTTGAGTGGCATAGTCTTTTTTTCTTAAAGAGATACATTGCTATTTACCTGGTATTGGTGAGATAGGAATGAAACTTGTTTACTTCTGATTAATATGCTGCCTCCTTACTGCTAATTGCTTCTGTAAATAGAAAGCCCAAAGTGCTTATGTGGTTAAGAGTCAGAACTTGTAGTGGGTGTTGGTGCTGCTACTGACTTCCTTTGTGGCTTTGAGAGTCAAGATTTAGTATTCAAACACACACAGCAAAAATAGCTCGCCAGAGCCTTTGATGAAAGGCAGAGTGTTTTTGCTTACAAATAAAATCATTTATTTTAAAAGAACTTTATTTCATAAAAGCAAGAAGATGGTGGTGGTTATCCTTTTAATTAGTAAAAAAAGCATGGTCTCCAGGGTCACACCGAAAGAGATTTGCATACTTAGCACCTGTAATCTTGGGCAAGGTTTAAACAACTCTAATCTTACTTGGTTTCCGCATCAGAAAACTGGTTTTCATGACAGCTAGTATTTGTTGGTAGGTGCTAGGCATTGTGGTAAGCAGTTTAGATACATTATTTTATTTAGTTCATATAATCTTATATGATAAATATTACTTTCTCATTTCACAGGTGAGGGGCTGGGGTACAGAAAAGTAGATAACTTGATTAAGGTCACATAATGAAATTAGGATGTTAAAAGCATTAGAGATGATATATGTAAGCAGTAACAGACTTTTAGTAAGTGTTCAGTAAGACATTAGGTATTATTGTTGATGCTGTTATAACAGAAACCGAGGTACATTCAGATCAGACTTGGTAAAGAATCTGTGAGCTGAAGATTAAAACCTACTTAAGATTATTCCCCAATTCCAATTGCAAAATTCTGAAGTGAAATTTCAAGATAATAAGCAACTTGAAGACAGTCAACCAAGTCTTTTAATTTTCTTTTATATTCCATAGTGCTTAGAGTAATTTACATTTGAGAAAATAGTATGCATTTGATACTTATTGATAGTTACGAATTTTTCTTGGAAGGACAAATGTGGATATATTTATAAATTAAGTAAAAAACGGCCAGGGCCAGCCAAGTGGCGCATTGGTTAAGAGCTGGCCTGGGACGCCAGAGGGCCCTGGTTCAGATCCCACCTGAGGGCCAGTGACATTGCCCTCCACAGCTAAGATGCTGAACAACAGCTCAACCTGGAGCTGGGCTGCCGTGAGTCGCCGACAATGGCATAGGCTGCAGCCCCTGCTGCAGTGGGTTGCCATGGGCTACCGTGTGTAGCCAGCAGCCAGTGTGAGCGGCCAGCAGCCGCCGTGAGCGGCTGTCCAGAAGCCGGTGACTGATCTGCCTTGCCCAGGAAGAGCACAATGATGGTGCCAACTTGGGCCAGTGAAGCAACATCCTCCACAACTAGACTGAAGAACAAAAGGACAGCAACTTGTGTATTCCCCTTCCCCCATTTCCCCAGCGCTGTTCCCATCCCCCAATTCCCCAATAAAAATCTTTAAAAAAAAAAAAAACGGCCATTTACTGAAAACTATTTCATTTACCCTAAGAGTTAATTCTTTTATTCTGTTCTTTTTAAAAGTTGCCATTGAAGGGTAACTTTATGACTTTCATTCAAAGAGTCTTTTGTCTTCATACTGGTATAAGAAAAAGAAAAAAGAGAAAGCTATAGAGAAGGCTGACCTCTCAAGAATTTTTGTGTGGGGAATTACTAAGGCATGGAAGTCCATAAACTATTTTTCTCCATTTTATTTTTTGTGTATCTCCACAAGCTGTACTTATGCTTAGTAAAAGTTGGCAACTTTTTTTATACCAAGTCAAATTCCATTCTCATAAACTCAAAGTTCACAGAACGTAATGAAGTCTAAATTCAACCCTAAATTGAGTGTATTTTAATGAAAATTTTTTATTCTATTTGTAGCTCAGTTTACCTCAGAACATTCTTTGAGGAAAACAAATTTGAATCCTATAGTGAATATTGTAGTTTTAAAAAATAACATGTATAGTTTTATTCTGATAATAGCAATAATATATCTGTGAATGATACTGACATACCAAATAAACCTTTCTTTATTAGAATATAATTCTGTGCTATTTTGTCAAATAATCAAGTGTTTACATTGGAGCAAATAGCTCCTTTTTTAGGAACTTAAGATTCCTGTGTTTCATCACAGGAATAACTAGTAAACTCATTTGTTTACAAGTAGCAATTGAAAAATGTGAAGAAGAGACAGTCAAATGGACAAGAATAAGATATTTTTCTTCATTATCTTCTGTGCTTGGTCAAGATTTTTTTCTTTCCTAGGCTCTTTAGCACTATGATGCTTTTGTCTACTCTGAATCTTTGTCTTTTTGTTCATTGTTGTATCCAAAGGCCTGGAACAGTGTGCTTGGCTCATAGTAGGTCTCAAATATTTCTTGAATGAGAAAATAAAGGGTCTCTTGTTTTGATCTGGGCATCTTTGGTATTCATCTGCTTTTTTACTTACCAAGTACATTGTGAGGCTTAGCTATTATCCACTAGAGTTTGCCTCATCTACTGGACTCTGTATTATAGATGGTATTATTTATAGTTACAGCTGTGCTTTTGTGATGGTAAGAAGGAAGGAACTTATTGACTGAGAAACTGTAGTCCAAAACAGCAACTCTAGAGAGAAGATAGGTAGATTAGTGGTTGCCTGGAGCTGGGGATGGAGGTGACAACACAGAACGACTGCAAATGGGCAAAGATGCATCTTTTTTGGGTCAGGAAGTGTTCTAAAATTGGATTGTGGTGATTGCTCTACAGCTTCATAAATTTATTAAAAGTCATTGAATTGTTAAAATGAGTGAATTTTATGGTATGTAAATTGTACCTAGGTAAAACGGTGTTAAAAAATAAAACCAGGTTGGGAGTTTAAATTTTTTCCTTTTTTTTTGCTAGTAAAACTAGGATATTGTAATTTTTTTCTTTTTTCTTACTTTGGTTATGACTTTTTAGTATAGATGAATGACTAATTTACCTAAAACCAGTTTTTCTGCAAAGTATTTCAGGACAAAGAAATGTTAATTAGTGAAGTACTTTCTTTTGTGATAATCAGCTTGGAATTTATAAGACTTAATATGAAACATGTTTCATAGTAATAATATGTTTCATCTAATTTCCTTACCCTGTTTTATGCACAGTTTGGATATTTCCAAAGCTATAAAAATGAATAGGTGTGATTATTCCACATTGCTGGTAGTTGGTTTACACTAGGTTACAAAGTTAGAACACGCTATTTTTTTTCCATTGCCTTTCTAGGAGATTATTTAACTTACCTCAGTGGTTTTGTTTTCATTTTTTTAAAGTAAATTATGGCCTCTTCCTATGTAATGTATTAACCTCTGTCTTTTGTTTGTTTTGGGTAGGAGATGATTGGTATTTTAAAATCTCTTGTTGGGAGGAAAACTTTTCCATGAAATGGCATTCTTATGTAGTTTTGTATATTCTTAAAGATATTCTGTGTGTTTCTCCTCCAAGGGAATAGCCCCTTTAAAACTTTAACTGTATCCTAAAGTAATATTTACAAAAGCTCACTCACAAGTCTAATGAAGGCCAAATAGTTTAAAGATCGAATAAGGTTATGGAGATCAGTTAACTCTAAAGTCTGACAGTGTCAAGCATTGGCAAGGATGTGAGAACCCAGAGATATTATTGTAATTAAAAAGGCATTTGGAATTTAAGAATTAAGGTGGTGGCCTGATTTTTCATTAGTTCGAACTTTATTCACTTATCCTGTGGCTTGAAACTATTAGATGATGATATAGTTATTGTTCCTATTATAACTGACATATATTGCTTGCTGAATATCAGACACTGTTAAAAAGGCTTTTCTTGTAGTAGCTCATTTAATTCTCACAATAACTATGAAGTTAAGACTATTATCACTCATTAAGGAAAATAAGTCACACAAAACTTACCCAAGGTCACATGGCTCAACAAACCTAGGCAGACATTGCTAATAACCACTATACCATAATAAAAGGACTGCTTTCCTTTATTCAGAAGAAAAAAGTTCATTATCCTGAAAGGATGTAGACGGAAATGAGAATTACTGCTTTACTGCTAGAAGGAGAAATATGTTCTTCCATTTTCTTTGTATTGATTTCGTCCTTGTATCCATTTGTTATTTTTGTTTCTGTGTTATTTATATATTTATAATTTATTTTTATGAATCAGTTTAGCAGTCTGATTATGAATGCCTTTTTATAGAATGCTAGGCTGATATTTCAAACAGTGTTATTTGAATTTAGTCACAAAATCTTTTATTAGGATTTCTTTAATGTGTCTGATGGTTAAATCGGTTACCTGGCTTGGATGAACATTTCTGTAGGAAATCTTCAAGCTTTCTATGCAGCTTAAAAGACAGGGAGTATAAATGCACTTCACATTTCTGTGTACCTTTGGAGAAGTCTGTATCATTGTAACTCAAAATGTGAACTACAATTTCACAGAATGCATATCATTGTTGATAAGTATCAATATAAATAAGCAAAAATATTTTAATAAGTTGATCTCTTTTAAATTAGGCTCATGGTTTTATAATTTTTAATTGATTTAAAAATCAAAAAAGTTATAAAGATTTTAATGAGCTTATTATACAGTAAGTTATTTCTCACATTATGGATATGTTTTTAAGGAAAAATTCAGGTATTGTTTTTTTTCTTAATTAAACCATTCATTCCCCCTCCTTTGTTTTTATTATATTTTGTTTTTTAGGATTTTGGCCCCCAACAGTAATTGTCAAGATGTTGAGACCCTTTATAACTTCCTAATCAAGTATGAGGTATGAAAAATATTTTTAAATATTTACCACATTTCCACCATTTTTCGGTTCCACAAATTTCAATGTAAATAAATAAACATGGTAGAGTTCTAAAATGTAATGGAATGCTATTTAATTCATATTTGCTTTAAATTCTTGAATGCCACAAAAGTTTGCCAGTGACATACTTAATTTCTTTTTTTTTTTCCATTCTCTAAGCAGAAACATAGAGTCTTATAATAATACACTTTCTACAACACAGAATTGTTTGTCATCAGGGGTGCTGTTGGCATTTTCAGTGGTGGGGAGCAGTGCAGCCTGTTTAACATCCCTGCTGCTCAGATACTACATGCCAGTAGAGCCTCCAGTCACGTGACAACCAAAAAACAAAAAACGTCCTACCAGCCCACCCCTGGGGAGACGCTGATCACCAAAAAGGAAACTATCGTTCAGTTTTCTCAGTAGCAGCAGCCCAGACCCTAGCGTTCGAGCCGTGGTGAAGCCCCAGTGTGTTTTGTAAATTAACGTGCATGCTGTCCTCATCCTTGCTGATCCAAGGAAAGCATTCTGTTGATCCTCAGCTTCTGTCTGCCTAAAGCTCTTTGCCCATATTCCAGTGTATTTTTTCTTGTCAAGTGTGTGAGTGTGTGTGTGTAATTTTTAAGATGCTGTCAAAGAAGGAATATGACGTATATTTGGGTCTCAACATTTCTTATGCAGTCAGATGCTTTTAAATACATTTCTTCACTTTTATTCCTTGTTAGCTCTTTATTTAACTTCTTGTACGTCACATCTGACATTAAGAACCTAGTGACTGAGAACACAGTCTCTGAGGGCAAACGACCTGTGTTCAAATGTTGGTTCTGCCACCTACTCACTATATGCTCTTAGAAGAGTTATTTAATTCTCTGGGTCTCAGTTTCTTCATCTGCGAAGTGGGAATAACATCAGTAGATACATTGTAGTATTCTTTAAAGACTAAACAATACATACAAAATGCTCCAAACAGTACCTGGCACAAAGTTTTCAGCAAGTGTTAGCTAATTTATTTAAGGAAACAATAATGTGTGTGCCTTTTAAACAAATCAGCCTGAATACTGTATAACCACATGAGAATTCCCTCTTTTGAGATGATTCATAAAATTACTTCTTCATACTTTCCGAATTTCAAATTGAGTCATTCTAACAATAAAAAATATATTTGTGGAAGTAACAGGACAATTTTTAGATCACGTACCCTAGAGAAACCTGGGACATAGATCTTTTTAGTGCTTCCTATCACTGAAAATATTGGGAGAAAACACCTGACATTATTTATAAGAATATGTGGAATCGATTCCCATATTTTAAAAATCATTTCTCATAGCAGAACTTCTTCCCTATACCAATTACTACATTGGAAATATTTGTCTCATATCATAAGCATTGATAGGCCCACCTACATTTTTAAAGATGTTTGTCTATTTTCATATTTAACCTTTGCCTTTTGTTCTTGAATTTTTAAAAGTTAAAAATAATATAGCCATTTTTAATATTTGGCATTCATTGTAAAGAATTAGTGACACCAATTCCACAATCCACATTGTTGTCATAGCTCTAATGTTTACTGACAAAGGCATTTAGCTATTTGTTCCCTGGGAATTAAAATTGTTCACTTGAGTATAGAAATAATATTTAACAGTATAATTTAAAATCTCATAATATGAGTAATTAAAAATGTCTTGAATCAAAATGAATGAATATGATGAAACAAGTTTTTTCAGGCTAGAGCCTTTGATTGGGTCCTGAATTTGTATTTCAGTGTTCCTTTTTTTAGTAATAAATCAACTGCCTACTTTGTAAGTCCACCTATGACCTGGAACCATATCATCGTTATACCCCAGCTATATTCTGGGATAAGTGTTTAATTTATGTAGATGATTGCTTTTTGAAACTAAAGAGTCAGCTAGATATTCATTTTTCTAACTATCTAAAGGAACTATTTTGTATGCATATTATATCAAGATCAGGATCATCAGTTCTTCAGCTGACTTCTCAACACTTGATGGGGAAAAGATTATTCCCTTCATCCTCTGATCAGATATCTACAGTGTTGACATTTGCTGCCTATGTTTGGGTATATTATAGGTCCTGGCGTGTTGGGGCAATAGTGACGAGCTTAAAGGCCCTGAGACAAGGGCAGAACATGTAAAGGAGGAGTTGGATGGTTGCTAGTTTAACTCTAAATGTATATGTTAGAATATGTTTAGAAGATTCTTTTAATAAAAATCATATAAAGTAACTAAAAAGTTATGCTAAATTATATACCAATTTCATGCGTTTATTAAGTATTATATATAATTAAATAACATTAAATATATACAGTCCTAATTTTAAACAAAAATTTAGGATTATATACATTTAAAGTGTTATATTTTAATACTATAGTTTTAACCTTCAGTGAATGAAACATTTTCTACACAAATATGGTGACTTTCTTATGAAAATGCTGACGAAGCTCATGGAACTTTTGCTAATAAGCGATACTCTAAACTCTATAGAAAACGTTCATGATATGAACTTTAAAGTAGTGTTGATTAAATCAGAGTAGAGACATTTTTTTCCCCCACCAAAAATTTCATGCCAGCTAATAATATTTTAAATATTTTTAAAAAGTAAATTGAAGAAAAGATTCCTTCAGCTTCCTTTCACTAATTCAGAATTTCTGAAAATTTAGGCACTGTGCTATTTGTTGTTATCTGATAAGGAATATTTTCTCTACCAGTTTCCAGATTCTCCTCTGCACAGAAGTAGAGTATAGCCTAACTGAGCAGTAGCAAGCCTCAAGAAATACAGACACTCATGTGTCCCCTACGTGTGTGCCACAACTTGTTTTTGTAGGATGGACTTTTACATTTATACTGTTGTAAATTATGTCTCTGAATTATAATAGATATTAATGAACTTAAACACCTTAGTGAAAATATTTAGACCTCGATAGTCTGAAAAAATGTATTTCTTTAGAAAATGTCTGTAAATCATACTTTGTCCTAAACAGACAGACGTTTCCACACAATTTATCATCTTCATATTTAAATGAAAATGAAGGTTTTTCAATAGTAACCTTCAGAAGGGACAACCATAGTATTCAGATATTGTTAAAGTTGAATACTTGACTTTTTCTTTCAGCTTGAATTATTTCTAATGTTTAGGATATAAACAAGATGTGACTGTTTCTGCTTACAGTATTCTACCTACTAGACCCCAGATCCACTCCAGCCCTTTAAGTATAGAATTATTTAAAAAATACTTTCACAATTCATTTACTTTTCTTAGAAAATACATATTGAATATTGGAAATCTTTTAAGAGGCTAGGCTAGCTGAAGCATGAATGTAGAGTTGAAGCAGGAGTAGTAGAATTTAGTGTTTCATGGAGTACATGGTTTTTTCTGTCCATTGGATCTCCAAGGTGATTGTCTGCTTTGTTGAGATTCCCACTAACTCCAGGCTCATCTCACTTCTTGTTCTATCAACACATTAGGTTGTAACAATAGGACTAGTATTTTTACACATAGTTCAGTGTCAGCATATGGTCACTGAACTTCTGATTGCTACTGCTTTGTCCTTTTTATGCAAAAACTAGAAATTTGACCTTCTCTTCCCTCCGAGTGTAGGCCACTCTAATTGTACTTTTACCACTCATTTAATTTAATGTGCATTTTTAATAACTATATCTTGGTTCTTTTCAGGTAAATAAAAATGTCAAGTTTACTGCCCAGGAACTTTATGATTGTGTTTCTCAGACTGAGTATCGGTAAGTCATCCCTCTGTATAGGTGTGCCGTAACAAGCTTTCAGCACATGTGGTGCTACTTGGTGGTTGTGGTGAAGGGTTCTTTTTTCTGTGTTCATTACACTGTGATTTATTTTTACCTTTATTACTATGAAATATTTCATACATGCAGAAGAGCCGTGTGTGTGTGTGTGTGTGTGTGTGTGTGTGTGTGTGTGTGTGTGTAGCAGGTATAAGGTTTAAAGTGGCTCTCAAATTTTTTGGCCTCAAGACTCCCTTATATTTTAAAAAATTAATGAAGACCCCAAAGAGGTTCTTATTATGAAAATAGCTTTGACCCCTTTGAGCTCACACACCCTTTGAAAGAGGCTTACATTCTCCATACCATGTTTTGAAGTACAGTTGTATAAAGGATGCTCATGCTTACCATTCAGTTGACACAATAGACCTCTACCCATCTCTATTTATATCATCTCTCCCATCCTCTCCCTAGTGATTTGGTGTTTATAATTCTCATTCTTACCTTTATGGCTTTACTAAGTATTAGGTATCATTAATAATGTGTTGATTAATTTCACCTGTTTTTGAACTTAATGGTGTCACACTATATTCTTTAAAAAAATAATTAGGTTGATAGCATTCATTGTAACAAAAAAGTAGTAGTATAACTCCAATTCCTGTATACACAGGGTATAGGTCTGAAGTCCTCCAATCCTGGGCCCAGACAAACAAATTCCTGAGGAGCAAATACCCGTTTAACTCTGAGTGTTGCCCTCCGTTCCAAATCTCCCTGCCACCTCCCCCATATTGTTTTTTTGGGTTTTTTTAGCTCAACATTGAGATTCACCTATGCTGGGGCATAGAGCAGTAGTTGGTTTACAGTCAATTCTATTATAGCATGACATGTGCGTTCCTTAATGTCACCGCTGCACTATGCAAAATCATGCAGTAAAAAGCGCAGGGCTCATGGGAAAAATGGGGCTGGAGCACATCACTCAAAAACTTAAGGGATGCATTGAAACATCAGAATGGAATCACAGCTTTACACACGTTAAATGGTTAGGAAATGCATCAGTGCTATAGTAAATGTGACACTTTACCTTGCAAAAGAGCTGAGTTTGCTTGTGGAAGTGGTCACTGGAAGGGCTGCCATTTGTGGGCTAGTGCGAGGCGCTGGAAGGAGGGTTATCTGAAATTGGATGTAAGGTTGTAACACAAATGATAGTGGATGAGGCTCGTAACACACAGAAAGCTGAGGTAACTGGTCCATGTTTGAAGTGTACATGAGTGTGTTTTGTGCATTCCTGTGGAGCTTGGGTAAGCTGGGTGCAGTTTTTGTGTGTTCATCTAGCATTTCTCACTGCTGAAATTGTGTCTAAGAAAATGTGACATTTGCATTATGCCCAAATTGTTCTGTAATATAGCAGTGGTGCTGGAACAAATTTGTGTGTTCAAAACAATGCTGCAGCAGAACTGACTGCATTTTCCACTGCTGTGTGATATACCACCGTACTTCTAACTCACTGTTCATTTGCTATTTATAACGTGCAGATATACCTGTGTGGCTGCAAAATTTTATGAGCAAGAGCAGTGACTAAGTTAACTGTCAAGGTGCTTCTGTTAAAACTCTAGATTGCCAAGTTTATTTGATCAAGACACTAGGATTGATAATCACACGTTATTAAGCTGCACAGCTATGAAAGTTAACTAGGAAAGAAACAGTAAGTTTCCCGAGAAAGTCTGAAGTGGGCACGCATAATCTGTTGTAGCTGGGCGTGAGAGTGATTTTTTTATCATAATCTTCAGATGATCAGTTATACTCTTATTTATAGATCTTTACAGCCAATGTACATTTAAAGGTTGTGTATATGAGATTTTGTGTCAAAAATATAATGTCTGTATCAACCTTCGCCATATTTTTGAAGGTGGAGAAAGTTCACTGTAGATAAGTTGGAGGACAGAGTCTCTTGCAGGATAGTTCCAATCAGATGTCAAAAATTATTTTGACTTCAGCTTGCTGTTAGACTCGTTGGGAGGTTATTTAGGGGTTGGGGTGGGGTGTTGGTGCATGGGCCAAAGTTGAATGTTGACGGTTAAAGCAGTTGTAGCTGTTTTTCTCTTTGTTTTCTTTCCACTTACAATGCCAAGAATTTGAACTATGATATTAATAAATTCCCTCTTATACCCAAAAGGAAGATTTTGAAATCAAATATCTCTAAATAGCTTGAATGAATTAACAAATAGCAATTGCCGCTCAGCAGGATTTTGGTTAATAGCTTCTAGGTTTGTTACTCTGTTGTTTGTTTTGAAATTACTGGCTGTGGGCCGGCCAAGTGGTGCATTGGTTAAGAGCTGGCTTGGGACGCCGGCTCTGAGCAGCAGGGCCCTGGTTTGGATCCCACATGAGAGCCAGTGACACTGCGCCCTCTACAGCTACAATGGTGAACAACAGCTCGGCCTGTGGGTCACCGGCGACAGCATAGGCTGCAGTAAAGCTGCAGTGGGCTGCTATAAGCTACCGCGTGTGGCTGGCAGCCAGCGTGAGCGGCCGGCAGCTGATGTGAGCTGCCAAGAGCTGCTGTGAGTGGCCATCCAGAGGCTGGCGACTGATCTGCCTCACCTGGGAAGAGCGCAATGATGGTGCCAACATGGGCCAGTGAAGCAATGTCCTCCACAACTAGACTGAAGAACAAAAGGAAAGCAACTTGTCTGTTCCCCTTCCCTGATTCCCCAGTGCTGTTCCCCTCCCCCAATTTCCCAATAAAATCTTAAAAAGAAAAGAAATTACTGGCTGTATTTACAGTGAGCGTTATCTGCCATATTAGTCTTGGTGTGCTCCTCAGCTCACAACTTGCAAATAAGCTGCCAAAGAGAGGTGTTGTTTTGGTGTCAGGGGTTCGTATTAGACACAGAGCCAAATGCAGTAGATAAAAGGTGGCAGCTTTCCTGTGGCTCCGAGGTGAGAACAGAAGAAGGATTTAACTTGCGGACAGCTGGCCACCTCCAGGAATGTTAAGGAAAACAGTTCCTTACACTGTCTGAATTTGCTGCCTTTTGGTTTTGATTTATAAAGTGTTAGCTCTGAAGGAGGATGAGCCCAGCACCGTACTGTGGCAATAGGGAGGTAATTAAGTAGCTGAGGAACATAAAACCATGTTATAGGTTCTGCGCAAGCAAGGAACTAAGATTTCAGATTGAAAGTAGCTTTGATCCAAAGTTGAATTCCATGACACTGGAGAGCCTTGGTGTTCATACCTCAAACCCGGGTTTTCTAGACTCCTGGATGGCCCTTTGGCCTTGCCAATGGGGTGTGTGCTCCGTTTACCCTGAGCACATGAGGAGTTTGCTCAGGAAATTAGGATGGAAGATTACGGAGATTATCAAACAGATCACCAAACATATATCTTGTGTGGTACCTTTTATATGTATGAGAAGTAAGTTAGGAGCAGTATTTAATTCACTTTGTTTGCCCTGTAGGTTCTTGACAGAGTGTCCTGGCATGTTTGCCAGGCAAGTCCCTAAGGTCATTTCCTTTATGAAATGCAAACTAGCTTGTGACATCCGCCTCATCAAGTCCCTGGCATATCCAAATGCTGTGCTGCCTCAGAGGGCATGTGTGTCAGAAGACTTCCTTTTCCCTGTGGCAAGTGCTCTCGGGAATCAGCTCCATGGGAGGTATCTTCTAGGTTACCTTAGAGCTGTGGTTCCAGGACCTGAGTGTCAGCACCACCTGGGAACTTGCAAGAAATGCAAACTCTGATCTGAATCAGGAAGTCTGGGGGTGGAGCCCAGCAATCTGTTTCACAATCTCTCCAGGGCCCTGAAGTTTGAGAACCTCTGTGTTAAATTAATGACCTGGTCTGTCCAAGAAGCCTTAGACAGGAAAAAGCCTTAGAGAAAAAGAACCTAGACCCTTGATGTTTCTGCTTTAATTAGAAAAGAATTACATTTTTCCTGTGTCTATAGATGCAGTCGTATTTGGCAGTAAATTTGACTTTATTATTTGTGATAGTTAGAAGGCATCACAAAATGTACTTTTTTTTTAATTAATTGAAGTAAAATTCACATTACATAAAATTAACAATCATTTGAAAGTGTACAATTCAGTGACCTTGAGTGCATTCCCTCTGTTGTGCAACCATCACTTCTGCCTAGTTCTGAGATATTTCCATCACCCCCCCCCCCCAGGAAATTCCATACCCACTAAGCAGCCATGCTCTGTTTTCCCCACATGCTGCAACTGCTAATCTGTTTTCTGTCCCTATGGATTTACCTATCCTGGATGTTTCTTGTAAATAGAATCATATAACATGCGACTTTATATATGTGGTTTTGTTCACTTAGCATGTTGCTTTTGAGGTTCATCTACATTGCAGCATCTATCAGCACTTCATTCCTTTTTATGGCTGAATAACATTCCGTTGTATGGATGGACCACATTTTGTTCATCTCTTCATCTGTTGATGGACATTTTGAGTTGTTTCCCCGTTTTGGCAGTTGTGAATAGTGTTGCTATTTGTGTACAAGTATTGGAATACTTTCCAGTTTAGGGGTGGGGAATATACCTAGGAGTGGAATTCCTGGGTCAGATGGTAATTCTGTGTTTAACTTTTTGAGAAACTGTCTGTTTTTCACAGCAGCTATACTATTTTACCTTCCCACCAGCAATGATGAGGGTTCTAATTTCTCCACATCCTCGACAACATTTTTTTTTAAGATTTTATTGGGGGAATTGGGCGAGGAGAACAGCGTTGGGGACTCGGGGAAAGGGAACAGACAAGTTGCTGTCCTTTTGTTCTTCAGTCTAGTTGTGGAGGACGTTGCTTCACTGGTCCATGTTGGTGTTATCATTGCGCTCTTCCCAGGTGAGGCAGATCGGTCGCCGGCCATTGGACGGCCGCTCACGGCAGCTCTTGGCAGCTCACACCGGCTGCCAGCCACTCATGGTAGCTTATGGCAGCCCACTTAAGCCCTGCTGCAGCCTACGCTGTCACCAGCGACTCACGGCAACCCAGCTCCAGG